ACGAAATCTCTGAAAGGTAGAAAAATAAAATATTTCAAACTCAGAGTAACATTTAGCAGTTTCCCAATTTACAGGTGCAAGCTGAGCAGATTATACACCTCCCAAACTAAACTTTTGTCTGCTGTTTAGCACAGGGGTAAGGACAGGGAAAATTCATTAGTCACTTTAAAACTCATTTTAAGAGGGTTTATAAACTTCCTATGAGGCAAAATGATTCACTGTTCAGTTTGCTAAGAACACAGGATTATGTTATGACTTACTACAGATTTTAAGTTAAAAACATTGCAGCAATCATCTCTTCAAATCAGATGTCTTTAGTCTGATATTTTTGCATCTTTGGCATGGGAAATGGAAAATATAATTAAAGCACTATCCCTGCCTTTGACCAAAACTCCATTTGCAGTGTACCTGTTTTAATTTGAGATGAACCTTTCAGAAGTGGTTTTTTCCAGTTCAACAAATTTTTAGTTATTAGCTCAAAACATTACAGGAGGAGTTCCTGAGATATTTGCTTGGAGAAACCAGAATTGGATCCAGAAGTTTTAAGCTATCCAATAAAACCACTCAGTGTATCAGTGGCTTCCTATAACTTTTTTTTCCCTTACTCACAGAATGGTCCAACACAGTTGTCTTTAATCAGGTTATTTTCTTCCAAGTGACAAGACCCAGGCTCCCTCAATTTTGTGTATCTACCTTCCTCATAATCTTCAGTTTCCTCTCCATTTAGCCAGAAGTCAGAGAAAAATGGGAGATGTGTGGATTTCATAAGCCAGGCCTGGACGTAGTATATCATTTCTGTCCCCATCTACGTGGATACAGTCCAGTCATAATGGCCTCATCTAACTCCAAAGCAGGGGAGGAAATGTAGCAGAGCTGTGTGAATTTGGTGAACAACCAGTAATTTGAGCAACTTATCTCTTCATAGACAAAGATTTTTTATTTCCTGAGGTTTAGTCTTCCGTAGAAACAAAAGATTATATGGATATCTTACCTAATAATGTCTGCTTTCCAGGAGTGTGTGTGTGTGTGTGTGTATACATGTATAAAGGTAGGAAATTACCAGGATATTACTACAAATAAATGAAGCAGAATAAACATATAATAGTGAATCACGAAAGGCAATCTTGGAATATTTAAAAATGTGTGGCTCAGTGGTTGAGCATGGACCCATGCACCGAGAGGTCATCACTTCAACTCCTGGTCAGGGCACATGCCCAGGTTGCAGGCTCCACCTCCAGTAGTGGGTGTGCAGTCGATTGATGTTTCTCTCTCATTGATGTTTCTATCTTTTTCTCCCTCTCCCTTCCATTCTCTCTCTCTAAAAGAAAAAACAAACATATAAAGATATTTTAAAATAAATTTTAAAAAATGAATGAACGTTTGAAAAGATGGATCAAGGAAATATTAGATAAGGCACACACACACAAAAAATCAGAAATATAACATTAGGCCATCCTAAAACAGGCTGCAGATATTAAAAGAAAATACTCTAATAATTTCATATCAATGAACTTAAAAAGTTAGAAATAACATTCCTAGAAAAATATGACAATACCTAAAATATGTGAAATTAAAACTAGAATAAGCAAAAGAATGTCCCACCATAAAGGAAAATCACTGTTTCAAAAGGAAAACATTATTCTTACAGAATATAGGAAAAGAAAGTTTTCCAATTGTTTAATGGAGTAAACTTAATCTTCATTGTAAGTTATCTACAAGGCAGCTTCTTCTGGTCAAGACAGAGCAACAGGCCTTATCCAGCTCAGTGGATACAGCATTGGCCTGCAGACCAAAGTGTACCAGGTTCGATTCTGGTCAAGGGCAAGTACCTTGTTGCAGGCTCCTCCCCGGCCTAGTGGGGGCTCCTGCAGGAGGCAACCCATCGATGTGTTTCTCTCAGATAGCTGTTTCTCTCTGTCTTTTCCTCTCTCTTTCACTCTCCCTAAAAATCAATGGAAAAATATCCTCGGGTGAGGATTAACAAAAACAAACAAACAAAAACAAGCAACAGTGTCTTGACTGTGCTGATGCACTGGCTGGTCTCCATCCCCCTGTATCCTTCACTGGTTTCTGTGTCCCTTCTTTAGATGGAAAAGAGGGAGAGAAAATCTTGCCAGGCAGCAGGCTTATTCAGCAACCACTGTGGACTCACACGTCTCCACACCTGCACGTCTGTGTTTGAGATCACAATTTGCCAAGGGTAGGTTCCCTTCTTGCATCTGTCTGTCTATCAGTGCAAATGTCAATGAAGAGGAAAAGGAGAATCTTTAGGGGAGCTCAGGGGAGTGAGAACAGCTAGAAGCTGAAATCTGATTTCTATCTGAAAATAAATCCTAATTCCTTAGCTTGTCAGTCAAGACACTTATGTCGAACTCAAGGCTCCAGCAACATGGACAATTCAAGGGATTTGAACAAAACATAGTTTCAATCCTCCTCTCCTCTATGGCTGCGGTTCTCAATCTGTGGGTCGCGACCCTTTTGGAGGGCAAACAACCCTTTCACAGGTGTCGCCTAAATATATCCTGCATATCAGATATTTACATTATGATTCATAACAGTGGCAAAATTACAGTTATGAAGTAGCAACAAAAATAATTTTATGGTTGGGGGTCACCACAACATGAGGAACTGTATTAAAGGGTCGCAGTATTAGGAAGGTTGAGAACCACTGTTCTATGGCCTCACTGTGAACTGACTCATTCCGTACTCCCAAAGAGAATCCTAGTTCCCAGCAGTTTTGCAGACTTCTAAGTTTGATTACTGTACATGTTTAGTGTCCTCCCCTGTCCCCTGGCTTGGAGTATTTCAGGATAGAATCCTTCACCCCAGCCTGGTGAGCTCCATGGGAGTCTTCCCTGTCCTGCTCACTTTGTGAGCCACCATGTATGCAAGAATAGGATACTCCACGGCATCCAAACCATACCCCGGTGTCCTTTGGCATACACTCCCTTCCCAGGACGGAAAAATTCCAGCTCTCTAGTTTGTACGGCAAAAATTCAGAGTATATGAGGCTAGAAAAATAAGCCAGACTGCAGGGGTAGAGGAGCCTACCCAGGAGGAAGAGAGGGAAGGATAGGACTGAGTATTTGAGGCGCTCTTAGAGAGCTACAGCAGGGATCATGCGGTGGGTTGGGGGAGGTGGGGAGGGGGGAGAGACACGGGTAGTCTGAGGAAGGCTCTCTGGGTATTTGTGTGCTCCCTACAGGAGTATCCTCAATCCTCACTGACCCCCTTGGTCAGTCATGATGCAGACCCTCAAAGACCTCTGACATCTGTCCTATTTCATACATAAACAATGGGGCCAGCACACGGAAAACAACAACAGCAACAATATGAGGGGAAATTAGGGACACCTCAGAAAAGCAAAGCAAACCATCAGCATGCTCACGGATCTCAACTGCCACCTGAGAGACGGCATCAGTTTGAGATAGAAGAGGAACCAACATTTCTTGAAACTCTCACCCAAAACAAAGGATCACGTGTCTTTCTCACACTAATGGAGTTTTCTACTAGCTTTCTCTTAGACAGCAGTTCCCACACACCCTATCATGAATGCAATGTCTCTCACATACAGCAGTGCCCCCCAATGTCTACACACCCAGCAACAGAAACACAGAGGAATGGAGACTGAAAGCAACAAACACAATTATATTGTAACTAGTGGCCCGATGCATGGATTCGCGCACATTGAAAGGGAGATAATTAGAAGAAATATTTTAATATTGCTATTTGCCCTTTCTCCCTCAGCGCCTGGGAGCCAGGTGGCAGCCCCGCCCTCTGCCGCCGCTGCTGGTCGCTGTCTGTGGGGTGATCAGTGGGGTGATTAGCCCCCCCACTCCGCCTTGGCCTGGAGCCTCCTGCTCACCTGCTCCACTATCCAGCCACGGTCCCGCGCTCGTCAAGGCCCAATGGGGCTGGCAGCACCTCCACTGCCACACTACCAGCGCTGAGTTACCGATGCCTGCCATGTTCTGTGCCACCCCCTGGTGGTCAGCGCATGTCATAGTGAGCGGTCAAACTCCCACTCTCCTGGTCGAACTCCTGGTGGAACCACTGCCCAAGGGGAAAATTTGTATATTAGGCTTTATTATATAGGACTAGAGGCCCGGTGCAGGAATTTGTGCACAGATGGGATCCCTCGGCCTGGCCAGCCACGGGAGGGACCGCAGGAGGTTGGCTGGCTAGGGGGAGAGACCGAGGGAAGTTGGCTGTCTGTGGGAGGTTGGCTGTGGGAGCGCACTGACCACCAGGGGTCAGCTCCTGCAGAGCGTCTGCCCCCTGGTGGTCAGTGCATGTGATAGCTACCGGCCGGTCGTAATGGTTGCTTAGGCTTTTATATATATAGATAACTATTATGGGGCCAGAGGGTACTTGAAATATCAAACAGCCATTCTATAAAGTACAAGATTGTCTAACCCCTCTGTTGTACATATGAAACGTATATAGAATAATACTGAATGCGAACCGTAGTTTAAAACAACAAAAAAACAGATACAGGCACACATACATAAAAATGAAAATGCTAACTCACACAGACACAGGCCTGTACAGATAGATACATCACCCTCTATATTCTCTCCGTACTGCACTTTATCATATTACTGTTTTAGTTTGCTACCCTGTTTACCACACTCTGAAATCATCTTATTGACCCGTTTACTTGTTCGTGCTCATTATGTTCCACAGGGCCAGGGACTGGTAGCTCCAGTTCACAGCAGGAGGGCTGGCGCGTAGCAGGGGTTCAAAAAACATTTAGATCAGTGATTAAAGTTCTCTTCCCATATCTAACCACCTGCCTAAAGCATTCTCCTCCTCCCTGGATTAAGCTCAGCATGTTTGCAACATATTGATTTGAACAAGCAACTCCTGAGGCCCCAGGCCAGGGCCCCCTACCCATTTGCACCCTCTAAATTCACACCAGTTCCCGCACTTGTCATGTTGTTGGCTTTTGAATGTGGTTCTTCCCACTAACATATGAAGACAAATAGACAAACAGGCAGCTGAGAGCTCAAGGCTTTTAATCAACAGAATCCAGAGCCTGACCCCATCTGGGTCTTGGTCAGAAATCAGGCTGTACTCAGAAGCTCAGTCTACCTGCAATGAGGGTGGGGCAAGAGGGTTGGGGAAGAGTAAGAGAGGGGTTAGGCCAGGGTCGGCTGGGCATGGGGTGAGGTGCTTCAACCACAAGATAAACTCCTTGTTCCTCCCCACTTTCTACAACACCATGAACAGTTGAGCTCCTAATAGAGAGGTAAACCAGAGGCCCCCCTTCCTTTCACTCCTGCAGTCCAGAAACACAAGGTCCTGGGATGGAGTCCTACCTAATCTAGGGTCCTTTCCCATGTTGCTGTCCCCAGGAAGTCATGGCAAGCTTGCAAGTCCAGTAGGCGTTAGGCCCTCACCCTTGGGGAGACATGGTATGAGCAGTGCCTAAGCCCTTTCTCTCAGATTCTCTCCCTGCCTCCATGCCCATTCGTCCCATTTCTCACACACCTTGGAGGACACACTTCCATCTCTTCCCAGGGTATCCCCTCTGGTCTGCTCCCGGGATTGGGTCAGCAGCTGGGACTTATCCTCAGGAAGACCCACGTCTTGTGGTAGCTCTGCCTCTGTCTCAGGGGACTGCAGCTGACCCTGCAAGGTGTATAGCAGTTGAAGGAAGGTCTGGTGCCTGGAAGAAAGAGCTGGGTGTGAAGGGAGGAGCTTCAGCTGGAACACACCGAGCCTGCAGCCCATGTGCCCCGTCTCACCTCTGCAGCTTGTCCCGCTCCTGCCCTGCTTGCTGCTTCAAGGTTCCAAGCTCCTGATACAGCTGCTCAAGCTCCTGCTGAGTTCCTGCCTGACGCTGCCTCACCTCTGCAGAAACTTCTGCTAAGTGCTGTAGACGTTTCTCCTACCATAAGTGAGAATGCAGATGTGGCTCATCAGATGCTGAACAGCCTCTGCCCTAACACCCTTCAGCCTAGATGGCACAAACAGGATAACACTCACTTAGTCTGCTATGTGCCGGACATATTTTAAGCACTTGCTATACAGTGGGGCCTTGGCTTACGAGTTTAATTCGTTCCGAGACCAAACTCGTTAAGGAGCTTGTTAACTCAAATTACTCTATCAACTCAATGCAAAAAATTGGCCGAGAGACAGCTGGTATCTCAAAAAACTCGTTAGTCAGGACACTCGTAAGTCAAGGCCCCACTGTATTAGTTGCTTAATCATCTGAACAACTTTACTTTTTTTTTAGGGTAGGTGCTAATATTGCCTCCATTTCATAGATGAAGAAACAAGCACAGAAAGTGAGGTGACTGCCCAAGGTCATGCAGTTGTAAATAGTGATGCTAGGACTCAAGCCCATGCCGGTACCTATACAGACTATAATGCCTCACAGAAAGAAAGGAGATGAGGTTTTCCTGGCAGAGCACTCAGTCCATGTGATAGCATGGTGATAGAAAAAGGATATTTTCTTAGGGGGATGGACGCACCTGTTGCAGCTTCCACTGCTTCTGGGCTGTTCTGAGTTTCTCCATGGCTACTTGCTTCTGCCGGTAGGCAAAGGAGGGGGGGGGGGGGCGGGACAAGAGGAGAAAGAGTTTATTTTGCTGGTTGCATGCTCGCCCTTTCCCTCCTCCTCTCTGAAAGTCCTTCCCTCCCCTCACCCTGGGCGTACCTTGGCCTGGAGCTGCTCAAGGGCCTCCCGGAGCTGTGCCTGCTTCCTTTGGGCCTCCTCCATCTTGGGCAGGGCCTGGATCAGGGTCCTTGAGATGGCCTCCACATGTTCTTGGTAGGTAGCCTTCAGCTCTTTCCATTGCTCCTTAGCTGCCATTGCCTTCTGTCCTGAGATGAGCCACCAGAATGAGAACTTGAGTGAAGGCGGGCCTGCTAGCCTGAAATACTGGGGCCTCGGTCTTTCCACCAGCTACACAGCTCCCTTCCTTCCCCACTCAAGGCAGGCCCTCTCCCAACCCCGTGACTACTCACGGCTCCTGTCTTCAGAAGCCAAGGGGTCCAGGCCCTGGACAATGTCCTCCTGAGCCAAGAAGTTCTGCAGGAAGTCCACTACCTGAAGCTGGCTGCAGAGCAGCTTGTCCTTCTTTCGGGAATCCTGTTCAGAGGGAGGAGAGAGGCAGGGGACATCCTTACCTCCTTGCACCATAGGCCAACAAGGCTGCCTTCCAGTCTGCTCACCATCAGTGCTGCCCAGCATCTCAGCAGAAGAACCCAGGAGCAGTCCACGGCTCCTGAAAAACTGGCTACCATCTTGAACATACCATCACAAACTCAGCCAGGATCTGTCCGGGCACCTCCGCCTCCTCCTGCAGACCTATAGGCTCCAGGATGTTTGCCAGCTTGGCCAGGGCCCTGCAGGGGCAAGGAAACAGGGGAAACTGCAGGCTCCTGGGGGGCTGGATCTGGAGAACTTCTGTGCACACGTAGATACATGTACCAATGCTGAGAGTCTCCTCTGACTGGCATCTGTACACCGGCCTAAAGGTCCCTCTGCGACCCGGAATGGTGTGTGCATATGGAGGACATATGAAGGGAATAAGTGCCATGGGCAAAAATAAGCAGAGCAAAAGGGAATAAGGAGTGCAGGATGGGGAATGGCCCGCTGAAGAGAAACCATTAGAGTCCAGGGAAATGTACTGGGAAAGGGCAAAATAAGGCAGAACTGATAGGCAGTGGGGTGCCCTCCAGGCAGAGAGCGCCCCTAGGGTAGAATCGTAGAATACTTGGGGAGGGGCTCGGGACCGGGGGGCTAGATGCCGAGGCACCGGTTCTTCCTTGTTGGGGGCTGGAGCCGCCCGCTGGGAGGCGGGGACCAAGATCAAACAACCCAATGGGAGAGGCGGTGGGACAGGCGAGACGGGAATGAAATGTCTCTCGCAGGGTGTGTCCTGCAGGCGGAAACCCCACGGTTAGGGCGGTGCAGCCCGCCCGGAGGGTGGAGGGGCAGGGATGAAACCCTCCCCTCTCATGGCACACCCCCGGGAGGCGTGCAAACGGGGAGTGACGGGCAGTCCCTCATGGGCCCGCATCTTGGAGACAAGGCATCTCTAGAACCTGAGACTAAGGTCTGGGGTCAGGATCACTTCCCCGCGGGGTCCAGGAAACGGTCACCTGTCCTCGGGGACCGGCAACATACACCACGGCCCGCCCCTGGCTGGCACCTGGCGGCAGACACTCACTCTACGGCTGCAGCCTCGGCCTCGGTCTCGGTCTCCGCCGCCTCCATCCTTCCCAGCGCAGCGTTTCAGCCCGATCCTCTCCTCAGAACTCTTATCGCTTTGGACCCACCGCCAACAGCGCGCCGGGACAGGCGATTGGTTGCCGGGTTAGTGGGCGGGAACAAGGAGCACCGTGCGCTCTGATTGGCAGGCGCTTACTCGCGCGTTGGCGCACCGCGCTGTTTGGCGCAGGCGCAGTTAGAGCTAGTCGTGGCGGGCGCGCGGGAGTTCTGCGCTTGCGCACTAGCCTGTAGGCGGTGCTGGAGCTTGGAGGTGGTGCTTTAATTCAGCAGCTTGTGGCCGGTTCATCTTACGCTGTGCGGAGGGAAAAGCATTGCACTGCGTTTGCGTTTTAGAGGAAACCCTCAGCATTAGTTTCATTTTTAATAAAACCCTGCGATAGAAATAGAGCATTGGGTCTGTCTTCCAAGACACTTGGCATCAGTAGCGAAGAACAGTGCCCCTGGAGACACAGGGGTTAAATGATACCCGCTCCGAAAGCTTATTGCCTTTAAAGATTTTCCGGGAATAAATGATATCAGCTCAGAAAGCTTACCGCCTTTAAAGATTTTCCGGGACGCGGTGCAGGGAGAGAGATAACCCAAGCCAATTACCCGAGCTGACAAGATTAAGTTGAAATTCTGGGGAAACCAAAGCAGGTGTTCGCAGCGGCATTTCGGAGCAAGGAGAGAGATGCTCAGGGAGGGAACTCAGTTCTGCAGATTTTCCCAAGTGTTGAGCTGAGAACTGAGCAAACGGTGTCTGAGGACAGTGCCCGAGAAGAGTTTTAGATATTCCTAGAGATCATGTAGGGTCAGAAATTATAACTGTATCCACCAGTCAGGCTGGAAAACTTAATCCATGGGGCCCTGGGTAGAGTACACAGACAGGTCGCGCCTTAGTAGGGAATAATTAGCCCTGAGCTGATCACTGCTGCAGAGCCACCTAACGAATCTTAAATGCAAGACCCAGGTGGATCAAACTGTTAACAAATCGCTTAAATATACCGTATGACAGACCAAAGTTCAGTAATATTTGTAGAAATGCAAAAATGTTCAACAAACAAGACAGAGTTTACAATGCCTGGCATTCAATTAAAAAATCATCAAGCTGGCAAAAAGAGAAAGAAAAGAAAGCCATAACGGGGAGAAAAATCTGTCACTAATCAGCACAGAAATATATGTTAGAATGAACAGACGAGGACATTAAGACACTTTTATAACTATTTCATTTGTTCAAAAAGATAAGCAGAGCTGTCATAAAAAAGAATAAGGTGAATATGTGGAGTTGGATGCACATGTTGCTGCTGAGGATGTAAAATGATGCATCTGCTTTGGGAAACAGCTTAACAGTTTCTCAAAATTTTAAACATAAAGTTGCATATGAACCACAATTCCACTCCTAGGTATATGTCCAAGAGAAATGAAAATGTGCACACAAATCTTGTACACACACGTACATGGCAGCATTTTATACCAGGGCCCAAAAGTAGAAAAGCCCAAATACCCATCAGCTGGTGAATGTTAAAATCTATAACCCATCCAATAAAATATTTTCAGCAATAAGAGAGAATGAGTTACTGGTACATGATAAAACATGGATGAACCTTGAAAATATTATGCTAAGTTTTAAAAAAACAGTCACAAAAGAGCACATATTGTTTGATCCCATTTATACATATGAAATGTCTGCATTAAGCAAATCTAGAGAAACAAAAAGTAGTTTAGTGGTTTTTCACAGCTGGGGGCTGACAGGGTTGGGAGGTGACTGGGCAGGGGCTGCAAGTAGAAGTGGGGTTTCATTTGAGGCGGGAATGAAAATGTTCTATGATTATGGGAAGATTGCACAATTCTATACAAAAAGCTATTCAGTTAAACTTTAAATGGGTCTCATAAAGCTCTCAAAAAGTTGATCAGAGATATGAAAAATAATAAAGACAAATCAAACTATAGAGGTGACAATTACAATGTAAGAGATGAAATTAGATGGGATTAATAGCAGATTAAACGTATAATAAAAAATAAATGAAATTAAAGGCATAGCCTTAGAAACTAACAGGAATCACAGAAAATGAAAACAGCAAAGCAACAGTGATCTTTGGGACAATTTCTAACAGCCTAATGTACTTGTAAATGGAGTCCCTGAAGGAGAGGCAAGGAGAGAGGACGAAAAACAAAACAAAACAACAAAACAAAAACAAAAGACACCAAGCATAATGAAATTTAAGAAAACTATAAATTCACATATGAAGACGTTCTACTAAACCTGAGCACAAAAAACATGAAGAAAACTATATCAAACCATACATCGCTCAAAAATATTGATGTTACAGACAGAGAAACAAAAATAGTTTTAAAAATGTCACATTTTGAGTAAAGAATTTGCAATTGTATAAATAGCATGTGTTTATAAATTTAAAGAGTGCTTGTTTGCCACTCAGCAAACTCCAATGCCGTCCATAAATTGTATCTAGGAACTTTGTTGCTGCTCAGTCATCTTCCTCTGTTGCAGAAAATAGTAGCACAACCACCTAGGAAGTAAGGCAAATTCCCTTAAGCATATAATTGATATGGAGGTTATATTTTCATTATTAAGATGGAAACATCTATTCAGTCATTGAACAAGTTGAAAAGAAGAAAAAAATAAAGCATCTGTTTCTGGAAATAGACAATTTCCCCCACTCATTTTGAAGCTTTTATTGTGTAGTGCATGAGAAATGATTCTGAAAATAGTATTTATTTGCACTCAAATGGAACATCAACTGTTTTATTGGGATGCATGAAGTGATTATGGGGGCAGGTTCATCTGAGATTCATAGAGCAGTAAGTAAATATAAGTAATGAGATAAGACACTTTTGCAATTGTCTATGGAAAATAAACTGCCTCTGGTACTTTATAAAACATTAAAAACAACATATCATGCATTGAGAACTTATTTCTGATTGCATAGAAATTTGTTTTGTATGTCCAGCTCTCCCAGCTGTGTTTTAGGATTTAAGTTGTATATCCAGATCTTTTCTGCCCGGTGGCAAGGTCATATAAATGAGTCTTGGGAAATCCAATGAATAAAACATGATATGTGCCTAAGTGATCACCATACTGTCTAGTAACCATCTATCATCATACAAGGTTATTATGATACTAGAGGCACAGTGCATGAAATTTGTTCGGGGGGGGTGGGGTGGGGTGGGGAAGGGGGCGTGTCCCTCAGCCCAGCCTGCACCCTCTTCAATCAGGGACCCCTTGGGGGATGTCCAACTGCCGGCTGCGGGATTGGGCCTAAACCGGCAGTCGGACATTCCTCTCACAATCCAGGACCACTGGCTCCTAACCGCTCACCTGCCTGTCTGCTTGCCTGATCGCCCCTAACCTCTCTGCCTGCCTGATTGCCCCTAACCTCCTCTGCTTGCCTGCCTGATAGCTCCTAACCACCTCTGCTTGTCGGCCTGATCACCCCTAACTGCTCCCCTGTCTGTCTGATCGCCCCTAACTGCCCTCTCCTGCTGGCCTGGTTGCCCCTAACTGCCCTCCTCTGCCAGCCTGGTCACCTCTAACTGCTCTCCCCTGCTGGCCTGATCGCTCCTACTGCCTCTGCCTCGGCCCCCGCCACCATGGCTTTGTCTTTTGTTTGGAAGGATGTCATGATGGATGTCTGGAAGATGTTCAGTCTAATCAGCATATTACCCTTTTATTAGTATAGATTATTGACTATAGTCCCTATGTTGTATATTAATTCCCATGACATTTATTTTATAACTGGAAATTTGTACCTCACTTTATTAGGTATATTAATGATGATAACTAGTATGTCATAAACCTGAAACTAATATACTATTGTATATTAAATATGTTTTAATAACAAATAACTTTAGCCCAGACCAACACTGGTATATTTTTTGTCTCTATAATAGGCTAGCCTTTTCTGGAAATTTCAGAAACATACAATAGGTAGGTTTTGTGTGTGTGTGTCTGTGTTTTGTATCTGCTTCTTTGCTTTTGCACAAGGTTTTGAGGATCATCAATATGGTAGCATGCATCAATAATTTGTTCCCTTTTATTAATATATTCTATTGTATGGATATACCAAATACAGTTTATCTATTCACCAGTTGATGGAAATTGGATTGTCTCTAGTTAATGATTTTTATGAATAATGCTATTGTGAACATTCCCTTAAAATTTTTGTGTATGGCCTTAACAGGTTTTGCTCAGTGGACAGAGTATCTACCCGCAGACTGAAAGGCCCCGGGTTCGATCCCCAGTAGGGGGCGTGCAGGAGGCCGCTGGTTGATATTTCTCTCTCATCTAACTCTCTATCCCTCTCCCTTCCTCTCTGTAAAATCAATAAAATATATTTAAAGAAAAGTTTTTTGTGTGAACATATGAGGGCCATCTTTTTATATGTTTATTATCTATTTGTATATCTTCTTGGATGAAATACCTATTTAAATATTCTGCTGATTTTAAAAATATGTTATTTGATTTCTTAATGTAGAGTTGTAGCAGTTATTTCTATTCTACATACAACTGTTGTTGTTGTTTTAAATCAAATGTATGGTTTGCAAATATTTTTTTCCCCAGCCTGCAACTTGTCTTTTATTTCCTTAACATGTCTCTTAAACTATTAAGAATGCTTTGCCTAGTTGAAGTTATAGCTTTTTTTTCTATTGTCTTCTCAAAGGTTTTTAGTTTTAATTCCCACATCTACACTTATTATTTTGAGTTAATTTTTTGTGCATAGTGTGGGGTACGAGTCTAAATTCATCTTTCTTCATATGAACATCCAATTATTGGAGTACCTCTTGTAAAAAAAAACACCTATTATTTCCTCAATTAATTGTCTTGGCACTTTTTTAAAAAGATCAATTCTGTTTCTTTGATCAATGCTCTTATTCTTACAGAGCATCACATTGTTTTGATTATTGCACCTATTTAGTTCATTTAGAAATTAGGAAGTATATGCCTTAAAACCTTTTCGCCTTTTACAAATGTGATTGGCTAGCCTGCAATCTATAATATGAACTTCATATTATAAAGCATATTATCGTATGCTCTGTTTTTAAATATTTCTACAGAAACTTGAGGCTCTGCTAATCTTTCCTCTTGTT